TAAGGAGTATGTTTGTTTCATTACGTGTGTGTGGGTTTTTTTTTTAACCACTTCCCGCGGGTTCACGTAAATGTACGTGGTTATACCAAGAACACGGCTGCTCCTGCAGCCGTGTTCTTGGTACCGTTTTAGGGCGTTCTGGCCCAATTCCGGCAGGAACGCACTGCATCGCACTGCGGCCGGCTGACTTTTTTGAAGGGCAGGAAGCGGCAGGGCACATTGTGCCTGCAGTCCGGTGTGGTCAAAATGCTGCAAGCATTATTTACCGCACCGGACTGCAGGCACAATGTGCCCTGCGATTCTGTGCCGGCGATCGCATTGCGGCCGGAGGGCGTGGCAACGGCGCCGTTCACTACAATGGCCCGCCACACACCCTGCTGCCTGGCAAAAAATTGAGCCGGCCGCAATGCAATGCAGTATGTTTCGGCCGGAATTGGGCCGGAGCGCACTGCAAGTGGTGTGAACAGGCCCTTAAACTGTAGACAATTGTTGTTTAAATGCAAGTGATCCGGCGTCTGTATAGGCGCTGGATCACTTGTATGGTGCGGTGCTGTGTCACCCTCCGCAGCCGCCAGTGCCACCATCAGCTTTCCGGGGCTCATCTGTCCCTGGTGTGAGGCCTCCCAACTGCGAACCTCTCCTCCCATCACTGGACATAGGAAGTGATGTGCATTACATCACTTCCGGTGTCACTGTACATTGTCTCCGGCTCCTAGAGCCAGAAGAAGAAGCTGGTGAAGCAGATATCTGCTTCATCAGCTTCTTTGGAGTACCTAGGTGACATTAAGGGTCTGAGAGACCCCTGATGTCTCCAAAAGGAAGACCTGTCACATTATATTTGCTTTTACATAAGGGACTTGTTAGCCCCCTATGTGATAGCAATAAAACTGAGTGAAAAAAAATTCAACTTTTATATTTTACCAAAAAGTTAGCCATTATATTCTATTTCTGTGCACTAAATATAATTTTAGTGTATTTTAACCTAAAAATACTTGATTTAGAAACATTTGGGCAAATACTGTGCTACATAAAAACGTTCAACTTGTATGTTTTTATTCTACAGGGCCTCTGCTTTCAGAAAATATATCCTTGTTTGGGGGGTCTGAAGATTTTTTTCTAACCAAAAATTCAGATTTCATCATGTGTGTGCAAATGTAAGAAATTGCTCCGGGCAGCAAGTGGTTAAAGTGACATTAAACCCTCAGATTTTTTAACATAAAACAATGTTGTAATGTGCGCCTTACTGTAATCCATGGTAGTTTCCCTTCTCTTTGCTGCTCTTCCTTTTAACTCTTTCCCTGCTAAGCCCTCCGAAACATTTTTCAATTCAGCTGGCCAAGCCATTTTTGCAATTTTTCCCATTGATTTGATTTTCAACTGCTGTGTTGCTAGTGTTTGTAAAAGACTCCCCAAACCATATATTTTCTGAAAGCGCAGGCCTGGTAGAATAAAAAGATGGTGATACTAAATAAACTGCCATGAGAGCATGTCGGGGCAGGCTTTGATATCACCGCCGGCTCCGACAAGCTCTCATTGTAATGACAGCTGGTCCCGTCCAATAGAAAACAGTTGGGTGGAGCTAGCTGTCAATGCTAGCGCCGCCCAATCATTCTCTCCTTTTTTCTACTTTTTCTATTCTACTCGGTACCACAGAGATACCGAGCAGAATAGTTGAGCCGAATGGCGCTCGGCGGCATTCGGCTATTCACTCACTGCTGTTCGGCCCCTATGAGAATAGGCCGAACAGTAGCGAGTAGCCTGCCAGAGGTTGGGTTCATCCGACTTGAACTCCTTCTGCACTTCGGGTCGGCCGACCCAAACCCAGCTAAAGCAAGCCGGTGTACGGCTGAAATCAGCTGTACAAGCCTGAAGTGAATAGCCGAACAGCGTTCGGCTCACTTCACTTCGTGTTGGTTAATCACACGGCTGCCTTCGGCAGCTTTGTGAATAACCCCCTATGTGTCCCCAGTTATTTACAAACACTGGAGTGATCAGAGATGTGATTTGTGTGTTTTAAATGTGTATATTTGTGTGTATAAATGTGTAGCAGTGATGCTGAACATTTTTTAAACCCGAGCGCCCAAGCTGCAACGCAATTATAAAGTTTTGTTCAATGTTGGCACTTTGAGATAAATAAATTGATTTTGCGTCGCAGTTTGGACACTTGGGTTCAAAAACATTTGCCATCACTATCCTAGTCTGACTACGGTGCAGGCAAGAGCCCAGAGGTAGCGGGGGAAGGGCTGTATATACAGGGAGGGCAGACATACTGCCCCTGTGGCTGCACGAGGGCTCGAGGCTGGGGGACCCACTGAGATCTGGTCACGGGGCCCCCCCACTGAAAAAATGGTGCCCGCATCTGCCCCTGGTGAGAACTTTTTGGTTTTTAAAGTTTATTGGCACTAGTAAGGAAATGTATCATGTGGCAGATTGGGTTCATGTAAATATCCGATTGGTTGTTGGGGCGACTGTTTACTTTTCTTATATATATTTTTTTTAGATTTTAAAACCTGTGTAATTTGATGTTGTGTTATGTTTTATGTGTATCTGCTGTATACTAGTCAGATTATATGGTTTGCTGTGGTTTGTAATAGACGTGTGTGGGGCCCTGAATCACAACACAAGGTAACGGAAGTGGAAAAAAAAGGACATAGATGTTTGATCACTCAGGACGTTAAATAAAATAAAGATTGGCTAAAAAGAGAAAAAAAAAAAATCAAAAATGCAATGGAACGTACTGAAATCAACAGAGGTTGAAACTGCAAGTCAATGGAACCTGCGTTTTCCTTCTAATTGTGGTGTGAGTGAGCCCAAAACTTAATTCTCTAAGCTGCGTGTGAGGGCTTGTTCACGCCATTTCCAGGCTGGTGCATTTTTTTAAATCTCCACCAAAAACGCGCACACAGCAATTCCAATTGTTTTTCTGAGACTAGGTCACACCATTGCATTCAGTTCAAGAGCTTTCAAAATAAGTACAGCAGCATGATTTTTTACCCACTGGAACTCACATAAACGCACTGTTCACGCCAGCTCTGGATGCATTTCTGCATACATATTTCTGCAAGTTTTTTTATGCTTTCCGGTGTGTTTTTGCCTTTTTAAAATTGATTTTAAGTGTTTGAATACGTTTATATGCATTTCTATGCGTTCCAGTGCTAAAAAATGCAGCATGCTGTACTTTTTTTCAGCGCTCAGAAACTAATTGCAATGGTTAGAACTAGCCTCATTTAAAACCTTAGGAATTACTGTGTATGTATTTTTGGTGCAGATTAAAAAAAAACAAACATGCACCAGTCTGGAGATAGTGAGAACATGTCCTTAAACCCACGCAAAACCAATTTAAAAAATGCGTCCAAAATGAGCATAAACGCATATGCAGAAATGCTTTCAGATCTGGTCTGGAGATGGTGTGAACAAACTGTAAGGCCTCATTCACACTGTAATCGTCCGGCACATACAGCTCCATGCTGCGAGCAGGGCCGTACCGAGCAGCTCCCTGGAAGGACAGGTGCTGCGTGTGATTAGTACGCAGCCCCCGTCCTTCTCTATGAGACTACGCGGGCGTATGCCCCCCTACGCTCACCTCAAGTGCAGGTCCGTAGGGGTGCGTGTTTCCTGGCTTGGACACAGACAGGATCCATCCTGTCAGCGTACGAGTACGCTCACCTGCACGGACATGCAGGGCGGGTGAGCGTAGGGGGGCGCGTACGACTGTGTAGTCCCATAGAGAAGGACGGGGGCTGCGTACTAATCCGACGCAGCACCTGTCCTTCCCGGTAGCTGCTCGGTACGGCCCTGCGCGCAGCACAGAGCTGTACGTGCAGGCCGATTAGTGTGAATGAGGGCTAAAAGATGAAAAATAGAAGCTGATAACTTTCTATGAGCAACTACACTAGATGAAAAGTCATCAGACACTGAGGCCTTGTTCACACCAAGCGCGGAGCAGGTGCAGAGCAGAGCAGTTGCAGACCGGATCAAAACTGCGTTCAATGTATTCCAATGGTATTTTTTGCTCCAGCTCACATCACAGCGTGCAGTTCCAGGGCAGGTCCAGAGCAGGTAAAAAAAACTGCAGCAGGCCCTATTAGGCTCTAGAACGCATGCAAAGATCTGCTCTGCATTTGGTGTGAACAAGGCCTGAGGGGAATGGATCAACACTGGAGCAGTTGTCCATGACAACCACTCAGCTTCTATGTTTCATATTCAAAGCTTAACTGAACAAACTGAAATGAGAAGCTGATTAGTTACTATGGACAACTGCTTCAGATCTGTCTGTTCCAGTTTTGATAAATTACCCTCAGTATTTATAACTTCCCCCTTTCTAATGGTGCCCACATACCTTACAATTTATCTGCAGATTTTCTGTGGTCAAATGGAAAAAGTGCAACAGATTGGCCCAGGTGGAGATTACTCCATCCACACAGTTAAGTGTAGATGGAGGAATCTGTTGCACCTTTTCCATTTGACCACAGAAAATCTGCAGATAAATTGTAAGGTGTATGGGCACCTTTAGTTAAATAATGAGCTCATTCTAGTGGTTTATTTTTGCATATGTTTGTATTTAATTGAGTAAAGGCAAGCATTTAAAATTGAAGAACTTTAATTAATTTAAAAACAAAAGCGACTGAGGTAAACACTGTAGTAATATTTCAGAAGATGTGCCCACTAGAAAATTGATCATAGTTCTCCTTCAGCAGAAAGGTTGTGCACGAGGACACAAAATATTGCTGGGCTTGAAGGGGTTAAAAATTTCCTAGCCAACCGTCGTCTGAAAATCCCACCTCCTCTTGGCAGGGCTGCCTTAGCACTGCCTGAGCGGCAGAAGCTGGAACTTTAAGCACTACGTAAAATAAAAAAACAACACAGAAAAAGAAAAATATACCACTACATCTCAAAAAACAAAAACTAAAGCGGCTCACGAGTAAAAACTAAAAGAATGTATATTTCTGAGCAAGCAGGCATGCGAGAGTCAGCCTTAGCGAAAGGCCCCAGGGTGCCATCTTTCGTGCAGACGCAGGCTCAGGCTGTGATTAAACGAAGGTGTTGCTGTTGTAGCACTAGGTCACTTTGAAGAGGGGCAGCCATGATCGCCCGAGTGCTCGGACCTCGCTACCAGCAGCTGGCTAAAAATTGGTGAGAAGTGTTAAAATGAGCGCCTGTTGCCCTACGTACGGTGTGAAAGGTGACATTAGGAATTCTTGCCTTCTAATTGTATGAAGTTCTTTATTCAGCGGAGTGTTTTAGTAACTGAAACAGCTTTATGGCTTATCAAAGGGTGTGTGATCTGTTTTATTTGAAATGTTATATAATGTGATTCATGTCTATATTTTATTTTTTCTTAGGGTCCCCACTCTCTTTACATGGGGTACAGTAGGAGGTGTTGGATTGATTTGGGCCACAGACTGGAGGCTGTTCCTGGATTATGTTCCATATGTAAATGGAAAATTCAAAAACGATGACTAAATTTATGGGATTTATTTTAAGTGAGTAATGTAAGTTTGTGTGATATGGTAATGAGAAGTGCATTCATTTGTAAAGAACTCTGGGCATTAAAAAAATTAACCCTTGCAGTGGGGCTACCCCTGCCCTGCAAGGGTTAACTGCTCATTTTTGTCTATGGGCAGAAAAGATATACTCACCTTGGTCCTGTAGCGGTGACCACTCGCCTCCTTCCTCCTCTGCTCTGGCGGTGATATGTCCCTTGGCGTCTTCAAGTCAGTGGACCTGTATTAGATGTGATGTCAGTGGCACTTAGACCGCTTGAGCCCAGGGGAGAAGAGTTTGTGGGAACTGTCGACCAGCAGCTAGGTGGAACTAAGGATCAGATGAGTATATCCTCCTTCCCCAGCCAGGGTGGAGAGGTGAGAGGTCACTGCCGCAGGGCCGAAGATAGGGTGAGTATTTCTTCTTTATTCCGTTCCCTATCAAAAAATTAGCAGTTTATCCTTGCAGTGCGGGGGAAGTTCCACTGCATAGGTGTGTGGGTTTTTTTGTTTTGTTTGATAGGTTTCAAAGTTATGCTATGTTAATGAAAATGTGTAACACAACGCATAGGTATTATTAAGGATTTATATAGCGCCAACAGTTTGCGCAGCGCTTTACAAAATGAGGAAGACATTACAATCACAATACAAGACAAGATGGTAAGGAGGGCCCTGCCCGTGAGGGCTTACTATCTTACAGTAGAACGGTATCATGGCACACTCGCAAGCCCGCATGTAAAACAACTTGTCTCACCACTAAGGTTAATAACAGAGGTTTGGATACACGTCTTCTGCAGAAAATGTGAAAGCCGCGCCAAGGCACCTCTTATAGTGCGGTCCTAACTCTAAACTATGAGAGTCTCCATCTTGGAGCACATGGGGGCAGAAGATTTCAAATTGGGTTCAGATTTGTCAGGAGGAAGCCCAACCTCCTTAAAGGCACAGGGACACACAAGGGATCCCGCACATCCAAATGGCAGCTTACTGTATAGCCGGTGATGAATTGCTGAGTGCGTTTGTCATTTGTTTTGCTTGACCGATTTTGGTGCAGTGACGCATGGGGGTTCTCAGCTGCCATTTGGATGTGCGGGATCCCTTGTGTGTCCCTGTGCCTTTAAGGAGGTTGGGCTTCCTCCTGACAAACCTGAACCCAATTTGAAATCTTCTGCCCCCATGTGCTCCAAGATGGAGACTCTCATAGTTTAGAGTTAGGACCGCACTATAAGAGGTGCCTTGGCGCGGCTTTCACATTTTCTGCAGAAGACGTGTATCCAAACCTCTGTTATTAACCTTAGTGGTGAGACAAGTTGTTTTACATGCGGGCTTGTGAGTGTGCCATGATACCGTTCTACTGTTTAAAGCCCATTTCGTGTGCACCTTTACTGTATAGCCGGTGACGAATTGCTGAGTGCGTTTGTCATTTGTTTTGCTTGGCTTACTATCTAAAAGACTATCTCAACGTGGCTGCAAAAGTGGAAATGCATCTTAAGAGAAGGAAGGTTAGGCGGAGAAAAGAAAGTAAGTTAGATAACGTGTATGTAAGTTTTTTTTTTTTTTAATATTTATAATGGTCTGTCTTTATTTTTCAGCTTGAAGACTGTGAATATCCTTTACTACCCCGATGTTTTGTGGCCCGCTGCTGATTTTCTTCAATGAAAACCTGCCTTGAACAATTTCAAATAAAGATATAATTTCTTTTACATTTTAATTATTACTTTGATGTTACTTGATATGAATGTGTTGTCAAATATTTTACCCATTTCGCAACTGAAGCAATTTTGTGCGCACATTAAAATCTGAATTTACAGCTAGAAAACAGCCTAAAACCCCCAAACTGCTATATGTTATCTGAAAGCAGAGGCCCTGTAGAAGAAAAAAAAAATGCTAGTTGCAATTTTTATGTCCCATGATAATTGCAAATATTAATCAAATTGATATTTTAAGGAAAAGAACACTTATTAGAATTTTAGTGCAGACAAACATATTACAATATCCGTTGGGTTAATAGAGACCAAATGTGTCAAACCTTAAAACTACAGTACCCAAAATTGCCCATAGGTGAAGCTTTAGAAGCCTTTACTACTGGTAGTGGGCTTTAAATTTCTAATAATAAAAAAAAAACTTTATGACGCTTAAAGTGACAGTAAACTCGGGAGCTAAATCTTAAAATACTGAAGCTACACAAAGGACACTACACCATTCACATGAAGTAAACAACTGTCTATTGCCATTCTGACAAAGACTCATTAAAGTGACACTAAACACAGGCGTTTAACCTTTTAACTATTTAAAAAAATGTATCTTATTTGTGTATCACTCAGCTGTAGATCCTTAAATCATCTGTGTGTTTTGTGAAGTAACCACCACTCCAAGCTCGCTCCCATGATGGACCACAACCTCACATGTAGTTGACTAATTTGTATTGAAATTGTAGTCAATCACAGAAGTGAGCTTGGAGCAGTGATTAATTTACAACATAAACAGGGACCATGGGGGACATAAGTAGCCACTCTCCAGAAGGAAGGACAGTGTCAGCACCAATAAAGAGATGATTTGAGGATCTACAGCTGAGTGATACACAAGATACATTTTTGTTAATAGTTAAGCACTCGGCTGTGGATCCTCAAATCATCTCTTTATTGGTGCTGACACTGTCCTTCCTTCTGGAGAGTGGCTACTTATGTCCCCCATGGTCCCTGTTTATGTTGTAAATTAATCACTGCTCCAAGCTCACTTCTGTGATTGACTACAATTTCAATACAAATTAGTCAACTACATGTGAGATTGTAGTCCATCCTGGGAGCGAGCTTGGAGCGGTGACTACTTTTACAACTGTCATTTTTAGACATGGCAGCCTCTTCATTTCTCTCAGCTCGGTTATCATTTAGCATTTTATCAGGATGTTTATCTTTTCTGTCAAAACTCTGGTAGACTGTAAGGCTGGGATGGGCAATTCCGGCCCTCCCTCTGTTGTGGAAATGCATGTCCTATGAGGCATTGCAAGAGTGACAGTAGCAGGGACAACTACCAGTGGCAGAGACATGATGGGATTTGTAGTTAAAGCACACCTGGAGTTGCCCACACCTGCTCTAAGGTATTGTTTGCAAGTAATCCGGTTTCCTGAGTGTCATGCAGCTTGGGAAAAATGTATCTACGTTCCTGCCCAGATTTGGGAATAGAAATTATTCAGTATTGGTGCAGCAGTGTATACTGCAGGGTGAGTCCAAACTCCTGTGTGTAGCCATTTGGGTGTGTTTTAAAGTGTCCCTATAGGGTCAACACAACTAATGTTGGCCTTTAATGCTGCTTGATGCTCATCAGCAGGAACCACAGCGCCTAGGATCAGCAATGTGGTAGCGTTTTAACAGACTGGCTGCTTGAAAGGTAAGTCTACAACAACTTGTTTTACAGACTGCCTTTAGTTTGATTCTGCCACATAGTGACAGTGCCACTTCGTTCACAACTTTGCAGTTTAGGTATGTTGGGTTGTAACCATGGTGCATTTTACATTTGTTACCATTAAACTCTGCACAGTGCATTTTCACAAAACCACATTTAAACGAAAACTATGGGCTAAGTGTTTTTCGCGATATACTGAGTCCGCCGCAGCCGGGACAGATCTCGACATTACTGGCGAGATTCACCCAGCTGCGTGATTGACAGCTGGCTCTGCCTATGTAGAGCTGTACCCGCCCCCTCCCCCATCCGTTCTTCCAGTCAGTGCTGGAGGGGGGAATCCCTGCAGGGATCCGTGACTGACAGTCACAGCTCTCTGCAGGGAGATGAGCGATGGTATGTGTTCGCTCACTTCCCGATCTATTGAGCCGACGTGTTAAGGTTTCATTGTCACACGTCGGCTCAAACTATGAGGATGAGTGATTTTCACTCACCTCAAAGTTCTCCTTTTAAATAAGAACTCCAGGGAAAAGTTTTATTAACCCTTGCAGTGGGGCTACCCCCATTGCTCATTTTTCTATTGGTGCAAGTTGTACTCACCTGAACTGCTGTAACTCCGTGCTTCTCCGGTCATTGGAGCGTGTCTCCTCCTCTGCTGCACCAATGGAATGTTTCTCAGCATCCTCATGTCTATACACTTTTATAGAATGTGATGACACAAGGATTCTTAGACTGTTGCAGAAGAGGGGGAGAGAGGCTCTAGTGACCTGGTCTAAAGCTGGCCATACACCTATTGATTTTCTATGGTCAGATGGAAAAAGTGCAACAGATTCCTCTATCTACGCTAAACTGTGTGGATGGAGGAATCTTCCACTGGGCCAAGTTTCAGTATCTTGCTTGTCGGCCCCTCTGGCTGTCAAAATACCTGAACAACCTGATTGGATGCAGGCATTGTTCAGGTATTCTGAGAACCAGTGGGGCTGACTACCAAGTTACTGAAGCTTGGCCCAGTGGGAGATTCCTCCATCCACACAGTTTAGCGTAGATGGAGCAATCTGTTGCATAGTTACATAGGTTGAAAAACGACAAGTTCATCAAGCTCAACCTATACCGACATGAGAAGAAAAAAAAATCCTAAACTGAATGCTGTGCCCACAATTACCCACTGTTGATCCAGAGGAAGGCAAAAAACCCCTATGAAGCATGGTTCAATTTGTTCCAATGGGGAAAAAATTCCTTCCAGACCCCATAAGGCAACCGGATGCTCCCTGGATTAACAATCTCTGGTGCTTAATAATAACTCAATATCCAGTAATATGTGCATTTAGGAATACATCCAGATGTTTTTTAAAACAATTAACTGAGCTAGCTAGAACTAGGTCCTGGGGGAGTCTGTTCCACATTTTCACAGCTCTAACTGTGAAGAATCCTTTCCCTATGCAAAGGTTAAACCTCCTTTCCCTCAGGCGCAAAGAGTGTCCCCTTGTCCTTTGCAGTTACCTTAAAGTGAATCATTTGGCACCAAGCTCACTATATGTTACACTTTTTTCATTTGACCATAGAAAATCTATAGGTGTATGGCCA